ACAGAGATTCATTACACCACTGAAGGTCTGACCAGACCCTATCTCTACCTAACCTATTACCCCGATTTTCCCAACCAGCCCTATATAAACTCCCAGCCCCAAGCTGAGAGTAAGATGGTTGTTCTTTCTGTTTTGTTCTGTGGCCACACGTGGTGCTGCTCAAAGCTTAATCCTGGCTCTGAGCTTAAGGATCACTCCTGTTGGTGCTCAGGGGACCACATGCGTTGCTGGGTATTAGAATGGAGGTTGGCATATGCAAGACAAGCACCTAATCCCTGAACTCTCTCTCTCTGAAAATGGTTTTTAGGACAAAAAGTCCACCACCTTCTTAGACAGCTACCACTTGAATAAACCAGTTTTTTCTTTTTCTTTTTTTCTTTTTGGGTCACACTCAGCAATGCACTGGGGTTACTCCTGGCTCTGCACTCAGGAATCACCCCTAGCGGTACTCAGGGGACCATATGGGATGCTGGGAATCGAACCCGGGTGGGCCGCGTGCAAAGCAAACACCCTACCCGCTGTGCTATTGCTCCAGCCCCAAACCAGTTTTTCTTGTACCAGCTCTTTTCTCTTAAATATTGACCTTCCAGTGCAAAAGAAATGGATCTTGGATTTGGTAACAATTCCAGGGACCAGGGAGATAGTACAGTGGGCAGGGCACTTTCCCTGCATACAGGCGACCAGATTTAATTCCTGGCATACTATATGGTCCCCAGGGCCTGCCAGGAATGATACCTCAGTGCAAAAGCCAGGAGTTATTCCTTCTCACTGCCATCCCCCCCCCCAAAAAAAAACAGGAAAACAATCTTAACTTACTATGCTATTAGTTTAAAATTAAAATGTATAAGTAGCAAAGATGACCATATGAACATCAAAATCAGTATCATATTCTGAAAGAAATCACAAAGCCATCATCTTAGTCTGGTCACACATCTTTCTCAGGAATGCTAGCGTGTTCATTTCATAGGTCAACAGACAGTATATGGAAGTAAAATGCTTTAAGGTCACACAGCTAATTAATGCCTACAGATCTAAGACCTAGGCTGGAAAGACACTCAACAGACTGGAGCACACTGAATGAAAGAGGCCTGGGTCCGAGCCACGGCACCACCAGAAGTGACCCCAAGCAATACAGGCTGTGAACTCCCCTCAGAAAATAATTCAGACCAGGGAGTGTGAGAAAGCTCAAAGGGTTGGAGCAATGCATTGCATGCACCAGGCCCTTAGTTTAACTTGCCACACTGCAGGCACCTCCCTGCGCCATAGCACTTCCAAGTGGAAACCGTGGTCACAAAGCACTGTGTGGCGTAGCCTGGTAATCTCCTGTATTACAGAGACCAAGCATCAATGCCGTGAGTACTGCTGCATCTCCCTTGCCTCCCACAAAAGAAAAAATTCAGACCATAGGTGAAAATGAACACGTGTTGGGTTGGAGCGATAGTACAGTGGGTAGGGCATTTGCCTTGCACATGGCTGACCCAGGTTCGATCCCCAGGATCCCATATGGTTCCCCCGAGCACCACCAGGAGTGATTACTGAGTGCAGAGCCAGGAGTAAACCCTGAACATCACCGGGTGTGAACCCAAAAAGCAGAAAAAAAAGAAAAGAAAATGAACACATGTTGGGGGAAAACAAAAGGTAAGATATTGTTACTGTTCATATAGTACTATTTTAAATTTTTATTTCATTCTCTTGCTCTAAAAAATGTTATTTTTGAATATGTGTTTTTATTATTTTGGGGCTATACCCGGTGGTGCTCAAGCTTACTCCTGGCTCTGTGCTTGGGGGTCAATTCTAGCAGGCTAGGGGAACATATGGGGTGCCAGGAATTGAACCTGGGTCAGTCACAAGGTAAGTATCTTACCCACTGTACTATCTCTCCAGCCCCCAAATGTTTGAAAATTGGACCAGAGAGATGGTACAGGGTTTACAGTGCTTGCTTTGTATGTGTCCAAGCCTGGTTTGATCCATGAACATCAACTGGAGTGAATCCTGAGCACTGCCAGATATAACCTAAATTCCCCATCTCCTCCTTTTTGATTTCCAATAAAAAGAGAACAAAATTTCAGATCAAAGTTCTGCTAGCTGCAGAGCACACTGGGTGATTAATTATTCAATAACACTAGCACATTTTCTAGGAAACCACGGAAGAAGACTCCAGATATAGTCAAATTCCCATCATATGAACAAACTATAAAGTGGCTGCACATCCCATTCGCTCAGGTTCAGTAACCACCCACAGAATGAGCCTAACTCACATTGCAGAGTTAGGCAGGGTCACTGTAAAAGCCTAGAGATGATGAGCAGAAAAACAGTGCTTAATGCAATAAACCTGTGAACAATATCCTGAGGCAATACATGTCTAATATTATCAATATAATATAAAAGGAGAAAAAAACCTAGGAATAACTGATAGGCCTCCAAGTTAGTAAGACAAAACCAGCCCACAGTGTCACTCTGCATAGAAAAAAGATATGAGGGGCCGGAGTGATAGCACAGCGGGTAGGGCATTTGCCTTGCACACGGCCGACCTGGGTTCGATCCTCGGCATCCCATATGGTCCCCCAAGCACCGCCAGGAGTAATTTCTGAATGCAAAGAAACCCCTGAGCATTGCTGGGTATGACCCAAAAGGCCCTCCCGTTGATCGTCGATTTGCTCGAGCGGGCCCAGTAACGTCTCCATTGGAGACTTTGTTGTTACTGTGTCTGGCATATCGAATACTCTCGGTAGCTTGCCGGGCTCTCCGAGAGGGGCGGAGGAATCGAACTCGGGTCGGCCATGTTGGCCGCTTGTAAGGCGAACGCCCTACCCGCTGTGCTATCGCTCTGGAGCTCCAGTGGCGCAATCGGTTAGCGCGCGGTACTTATATGGGTATGACCCAAAAAAAGCAAAAAAAAAAAAAAGATATGAAAAGCACAGAATGGGCACCACATTCAAGACAGTCTTAAGATCTCATGGAGATGACCAGATAAGTTATTATTGCTCCTTTGAAAATCCAGCAACCTGATCCTCTTTCCAAGGACTGAACCCAATAGTACCTCCAACCAGGACATCTGTCTCAAATAGAAAAGGAAATATCCCCAACTGAGAATGATTTCTACGTCCCCAGGTAAACACCGGTCCTGGCTGGTATCTCACAACTGCTGACACCCACACCCTGATCTGCTCTAGGACCTAGCCCTAACTTTAACTTCTACTCACGAAATGCTAATATCAGGGAGTGTCTCCTCCACTTTTAAGTTTACCTGGGTTTCGACCTCCTGCTTAAACTGTAGAGCAAAAGGCCTTTGCGTCCTTTAGCACAGCCCAACCCAATGAACAATTCTCTCCTGGTTCACTTTTGGTTCCCTCTTTTTTTCATAGTTTCTACCAAGAGTGACTCACAACTCATACATATTCAAAATTCTCATAGCAATAGCAGGGGGAGGGGGAATCTGCTGAGTAAATTCAGTTGCTTCAGAATAAATTGTGTACATTAGAATTTCACACAAAGGAAAATCTTGCTAAACGATGGACTCTGGACCCCTTACACCTGGTCCTTACAGGGAAGAGAGTCAGGACTAGAATGAAATTCTAGCAGAAAGGTGCGGGACAGCCAAGGCAGCTTCCTACCCAGTCCTGACCACTGCCTTCTGCTGCTTAGAATAGGGGCCTTCCTGGCCCTCATCCCCGGCTGCTCTGTCTCGGGAAGGAAGCTGACCACTTCCTTTTCACCCCTTCCAAGGCTCAGAAAGTGTCAAGCCTTAAGGGGTCTACTGCTGGGTGAAAGAGAAAAAGAAAAACCTCCTCACTTAAATGTTATCAAATTCTCTATTTCTGCATCTTAGAAGAGGTAGCAAAGTTCTGCAGTCACGGCCCTTTGTGACTATCGATCCCTTACCTTTCTGTGCAGGAACAAATAAAAGCTGGTACAGAGGTGATGGAGGTCAAGCAAAGCCCGGAGCTGCATGTCTTCCCAGTGCATTCCATGAGGGTCACGGAAGAAACTTTGCAAAACAGTTTGGGAGAAAGGTTCGAGGGGGTGAAGGGGTGGTGGGCACAGCACAAGACTAGGGAGCCAATCAGTTTGACAGAGGGGCCACAGGGAGAAAACAATGTGAAAAGAGGCCAAAGTCAGGAAAAGGCTGCAGGGCCGTGGAGGAAGTACAGTGCTCCCTCTGCATGCAGTTGACCAGGGTTAAACCCTCATCATCTAAGCCCTGCCAGGAGTGATCCCTAAGCACAGCTGAGCACAACGCCAGGAGTAAACAGTGAACACAGCCAGGGTGTCTCTCCCACACTCATAAAAGAAAAAGGTTGAGAAACTTTGGCTTAGAGAACAAGGCAAATCCTAAACAGGTCTCATCTGGAACACTGGTAGTAAGTGCAAGCCAGTTGAGAAATTTCTTTTCTTTTTTTTTCCTTTTTGGGTTACACCCGATGATGCTCAGGGGTTACTCTGGCCTCTGCACTCAGGAATCACACCTAGCAGTGCTCAGGGGACTATATGGGATGTCAGGGATTGAACCTGGGTCCACCACATGCAAGGCAAATGCCCTTCCCGCTGTACTATCACTCCAGCCCCCAGCTGAGAAATTTCTAAACCAGAGGAAAATAGTCTCTCTGTAAAAATGACTAGAGTTCCTGTCTATCCTCATCTATAGAATATTTTTATGCTAAAAAGCAATAGCAGGGGCTGGAGTGATAGCACAGCGGGTAGGGCGTTTGCCTTGCACGCGGCCGACCTGGGTTCGATTCCCAACATCCCATATGGTCCCCTGAGCACCGCCAGGGGTAATTCCTGAGTGCAGAGCCAGGAGTAACCCCTGTGCATCGCCAGGTGTGACCCAAAAAGCAAAAAACAAAAATTTTTTAAAAATTTTTAAAAAAAGCAATTAGCAATTCTTCATCGAACCTGAGATGTTATATAGCAGTGGTTATAACAAAGTCATTTTTTACAGGTAAAAAAGTAAACAGCGAGTGATACACGAATGATAATAAAAGACAAATCAGACTCACGTTTATCCAGTGCTGTACTCCTAGAGATTACACTCTTTCCCCCTTCCTGAATAATAATTCAACATAAAGTTCCGACTTTATGCTTTAAGATCTGGAACAGGTTCTGCAAGAGCAACAAAAGCCTGAAAAGAGAGAACAAGGAAAGGAACATCAAGATCCTGACCTATGAGAAGAAAGAGCAACTGGCTTCACGCCCCTCCTGACGCAGTCATGCAGTGGGACTATCAGAGGCAGTTCTGAGACAGTTTCCCGGGGGGTGGGGGGGAACCCTTGACTTCTCCCTCCTTTGAGCATTAACAAAGTAAACACATTCTTTTCTGTGATTTTTATTCCACAAATGCTTTAGGCTTGCTAGGTGATCTACACCTGCTTTTTTTTCTTTCTTTTTTTGTTTTGGTGAGGGTATGGGGGTGGGGGGCTGGAGCGATAGCACAGCAGTAGGGCGTTTGCCTTGCACGCAGCCAACATGGCCGACCCAAGTTCGATTCCTCCACCCCTCTCAGAGAGCCCGGCAAGCTACCGAGAGTATCTCGCCCACACGGCAGAGCCTGGCAAGCTCCCCGTGACGTATTCGATATGCCAGACACAGTAACAACAAAATCTCCAATGGAGATGTTACTGGGCCCGCTCGAGTAAATCGATGAACAACGGGAGGACCTTTACATTTTACCTTTTATGGGGGTGGTGGTGATGGCATGGACCACACCCAACTGTGCTCAGGGCTGACTCCTGGCTCTGAACTCATGGATCACTCGACCACATGGGGTGTTGGGGCTCTAACCTGGGCGGACCATGTGCAAAGCAAACACCCTAGCTCTGTGCTATGGCTTGGGTCCCAGTTTGTCAGTTTCTTATTCACTGTCACTGTCACTGTCCTCCCATTGTTCATCGATTTTCTCGAGCAGTTTCTTATTTAAAAAAAAAAGTAGTTTGTAAGGGATGCTGGAGCGATAGCAAGGCGGGTAGGGCGTTCGCCTTGCACAAGGTCTACACAGCCGACCCAGCCGGTCCGGGTTCGATTCCTCCGCCCCTCTGGAAGAGCCCGGCAAGCTACCAAGAGTATCTCGCCCACAGAGCAAAACCTGGCAAGCTACTGGTCACATATTCGAATTGCCAAATACAGTACCAACAAGTCTCACAACGGAGACGTTACTGGGCCCGCTGGAGCAAATCGATGAACAACAGGAGGACAGTACTACAGTGCTACAGTGCTACTTTGGGAGGGCCCAGAAAAATAGTGGATAGAGTGCTTGGCTTGTAGATGGCTGGCAGCATTCAATCACAAATGGTCCTCCCACTCTGTGCTCAGGAGTGATCCAGGATAAGCCCTGAGCACAGTCGGGTGAGGCCTCAAAACAAAGATACTGGTTGGGAGAAATAACTTACTGGTCTGGGTGCATGCATGGTGTCAGGGTTCAATACCTGCCATCACATATCTCAAGCAGAGCTGGGAGTGACCCCCAAGCACTGCGCGAGGAACAGCTCCAAGCACCACGGAGTGTGGCCCAAACAAACAACAACAACAACAACAACAGAAAAGCATATAATTATCATAAGACTCAGCAATCCCACTCCAAGAGATTTATCCAGAAGAAATGTAAACATTCATAGAATGTAACAACCCAAATTCATCAACAGGTAAATGGGTAAATAAATTGTGATACAGCACTACAGTAGAACACTATTCATCGAGAAAAATCAGTAACTTCTGATACATGATAAAATATATTTTAAACATGATAAAATACCAATAACATGGATAAAAAAATTTAAATACATACAGGACAGAAGAGTATAGTATAGTATAGTATAGTATAGTATAGTATAGTAAGTCAGAGGTTTGCTAGCATAGAACCGACCCAAGTTCCATCCCTGGCATCCAATATGGTCCTCAGAACCCTAGCAGTAGTGATCCCTGAGCACAGAGCCAGGAGTAAGCCCTGAGCACAACCAGGTTTGGGTTCAAAGCTGATGGGAGAAGTCAGACACAGAGAGTACATGAAAGCCTAGGAAATGATGCAAACAAGCGGGCCAGGGAGGTGGCGCCAAGGCCTAGAGCTCGAGCCTTATGCGCAGACGGAAGCCCCAGGTTTGATCCCACACCCCATGGTACCTGGAGTGACCAACCCCCCAGCAATGAGCTGGGATGGTCCAAAAAAGCAAAAAGAAAGAAAGGAAGTACAAACAAATGATACAATGGCAAAGGTCAGTGGAGCCAGGGGTAGGAGCTCTAGGGGCAGTACTAGAAAAGAAATCAGAGGAAACTTCTGGAGATATGGAACTGTTCTAGTGTAGTAGCAGTGATAAGTATAAGTGATAAGTTTGCCAAAATCTGAAATGTCTCTTAAAAGAGGTACATAAAAAATTTGACTTAAAATATAGGTTATCATGACAGTGATAGGACCATGATCGGTTCTATATTGGAAACCCACCTTAGTAAGATACAAAAACCTTCCATTTTATTCCTTTCTTCCCAGATCCTCGTTCCAATGTCAAATATTTAAAGGGTAAGTAATTACAACCGTGCAATGCATATGAGGAAAACCAAACCGCCTGACAGAATTAACTCCCAACTTGAGGCTGCTGTACCTTACAACAATCTGAGCTCGGTGCTTTTGAATATTCTAATATTCAAACGAAAAAAAAGATGACAAAGTAAAATCCTTGAATTTTGGAGACTTGCCTATTCTTGTAACGAAGACCGCCACGGCAGGATTGCATCATTCATTCATGCTGTTTGGATAGGCGGCCGTGGAATAATGAAATGTAAGCTGATGAAATAAAGCCTAAAAAGTTTCTGAAATGCGCTGCCTGTCTCGTTTCCGAAGCATAAGCACAGAATCACGGAAGCAAGTGCAAAAGACAGACCGGCGATCGGAAAGTCGGGCGCACCGAGAGACACACGCTGGGGCTTACCCGGCGCCGCTGCTCCTCCCTGGGCCGCAAGCCACCGCCACCAGGACGCCTGCCGCCGCAACCTTCCGAGCCCGGGGGGCGGGGGGCTGCAACTGACGCTCAGGACTTGCGTTCCGACCTGGATGACCTGTGCCGACCCGCCGAGCCTTTTCCAGACGATCGCCTGAGATCTGCCGAGAAGCACAGAGGTTTCTGGTCGGTTTTGCAGAGCGGAGGCTGCAGATCTTGGCTCGGTGGAACAGGACTGAGGAGTCCTTGTTCCCGCCCCGGGGGTGGGGCGCCCTGGGCCCGCCCCCTCCCCCCTCCCTGGGATCAGCGCGTGTGAACTTACAGTCGCGCTGGGCTCGCAGCACCTGCCCGGGGCAGAAGGGCAAAGGGTCTGCAAGGGGCTCCTCCCCGCCACCGCCACTTGGCAAAAGGGGACTTGGGAGAAACAAGGGCCCCCTGGCACTGGTTTTGTAAGTAAAGAAAACCCTTTAGGGGTCTTTTGAAGTTCACATTCGGCTTGACCCTCCAGTAGAACTGGGGGTCCCAGGAGAACTCCCCACATAACATTATTAGGGGCCCCGAGCGATAATACAGAGGGTAGGGCAGAGTCTTACGTGCAGCCAACGTAGGTTCGGTTCCCCTGAGTAGAGAGTCAGGACTAAGTCCTGAGCATCGAGCCAGGACTGATCCTAGATCACACAGCCAAGAGTAAGCCCTGGGCACTGCCGGATGTGGCAAGAAAAGAAAGTACTGGCAACCAAAATACAGTATCCTTTGGCCAAGTGAATCTTTGCACTCTTTGTTTCCTGTTTGTTCTCGCCACTTTATTTTCTTCGCTCACTCCGCGACTTTTACATTGGCCGCAACAAGCAAGGTCTGATTGTCCTAAATATTTACCCGTGGACACACAGCCAGATAAAGCTGAGCAGCAGGACTCGGCCCCTCGACTGCCTCAGCCCTTCAGTCTGTTTCCATGTCGGTCACCCATACTGGTGGGACATTTGTTCAGAGCATCCTGCCTTTTGCTCCAGAACCCCTCAGGAAACAACTCTATCCAGAAAAAGAAAGTCCTGTTTGCGTTGATATGCCTTCAAAGTTCAATATTCCCAGGTTTCCTTAATAAGATGGGATAGAAGTTAGCTGTAGAGAGCTTGCCATGGCCGTGTGAGGCCCCTGGGTTCCATCCTTGGCTCCATGAGGAAAACAAAACAAAACAAAACAAAACACAAAAACCCAAGAGATAGTAAAAAGGTGGTGGTGTTTGCCTTGCGTGTCACCAACCCTGGTTTGTCCGATGCCAGAACCACCAGGAGTCGCCCCTGAGCACAGAGCGGTCCCTTATGCACCTTGTTAGGTAGCCCACAGACAACACGGGTTGTGGCACAAAAATCAACAAGAAAAAAAAGTGGTTCCACACCCATTAGTTTCTCCCAACTATGCTGAAGAAGGTTCTGACAAAGAAATGAAAAGAATAGTGTTTATTTTATTTTTTAAAATGAGGTATTTTTTAATTAATAGGATAACTCTAAAAGGGTAAAAGTAATAGGGTAATCTAAAGTAAGAACTAATCAAGAGCCTATTTCTTCTTTATTTCCTTTTTCTATTTGGGGAGATAAAGAGAATAAAGCTATACTCAACTATGCAGGCTAGTTCCTGGCTCTGTGCTGGAGACAGAACCAGCTGAATGCAAGGTAAGGACCTTACACTGTACTATCTCTCTGGCCCAAGAGCCTATTTACTTTGTAATTATTTTATTGTATTTTATTTTTTGGGTCACACCCGGCAATGCACAGGGGTTACTTCTGGCTCTGTGCTCAGGAGTTACTCCTGGCAGTGCTTGGGGGACCATATGGGATGCTGGGGATTGAACCTAGGTCAGCCGCATGCAAGGCAAACACCCTACCCTCTGTACTATCGCTCCAGCCCCTTTTAGTAATTTATTTTTTTTTATTTTGCTTTTGGGGTCACACCTGGTGATGCACAGGTGTTACTCCTGGCTTTGCACTCAGAAATTACTCCTGGTAGTGCTCAGAGGACCATATGGGGTGCTGGGAATCGAACCTAGGTCGGCCGCATGCAAGGCAAACGCCCTACCCTCTGTACTAGTACTCCAGGTCCCCCCTGTAATAATTTTAAATGCGTATAACAAAGAAAACAAACTGTTTAACATCAAATACTTGTATATTCAAGAAATAAATCACAACTCATTTCAAAGAAAAGAAACACAATACAATAAAAGTGGAAGACTAGAATAGTTCATTTCTGCTGCTACTCATATTTTTGAATTTCTATTACTATTCATATTAAATTTCAGATGAAATATTTATACTCATGAACCCTGTACCCACTTCCTTCAAACCTTCAAACCAAATACTACACTTGTGGACATGAGAGGGCAGTATAGCACACATCACATTTAAAAAGAAAAAAAATTGGGCAGAGGAAACTATCGTATATAGATAGCAATATATATAGCAAGATACATATACATATAACAATCTGATGGGCCGGACACATAATGTGATTTAGAGATGACCGCTGGACTAGAGCTATTACCCACTGGATTCCACGGGATATCAAAAGGACGCGTGGCTACCCACCTACAAGATGATCAGACTTCTTCGTCAAAACCCTAAACAGTTTGAGGCTCTTCTTGTTCATGGAGCGAGCAGATGCCATTGGGCTACACTAGCACATGACAGGGACAAATGGATACTTTACTGGCACCCGCTCGAGCATATGGAAGATCAATGGGAAGACAAGTGATACAAGTGTGATATAACAATCAGCAGATAATAACTATATAAACATATTATAATGTTTCATTGATGTTCCTTTGGAAAAATGTTAATAGCATGAACATGAACCGAGTGCAATATAGCAATTAATAAAGTCATAATGAAAATATTAGCAATTTTTTGCAGTTTTAATCATAATTGGTTATTAAAATACAATGCAATTATTAATAGTCACCCTGGAAGGCTTTCTGTAGATATTTTTATAAACTATCATAAATCATATATTACTTTGTAATATATTACTGGAGTGATAGCACAGCAGTAGGGCGTTTGCCTTGCACTCCGCCGGCCTGGCTGAGCCGGGTTCAATTCCTCCGCCCCTCTCAAGAGCCCGGCAAGCTACCGAGAGTATTTTGCCCACACGGCAAAGTCTGGCAAACTCCCCGTGACATATCCAATATGCCAAACACAGTAACAACAAGTCTCACGATGGAGATGTTACTGGGCCCACTCAAGCAAATCGATGAACAACGGGAGGACCGTGATCATGATCATATATCATAAATAAATTGATTAAATTCAATAAAAGCTGAGGAGGGGATTCTATGCTATATAGCTAGTTGGTGATAAGCACAGGTGATAGTTTGGCCTTGCTATTAGTATCTACAGTCAGAAGTGACCATGCTTCCAGCCATTATCCCATGGAATCTAATAGCGGTAGATAGCATCAAAATTGAGCTGAATTAAATTGTATTTTTCAGGCCCTACTGGTATCTAAAAATTGCTTGTTGCTTCGGGAGAGCCTGCAAACTGAAGTGTTAAAACTGCCCCAGGAACCCTTTCATCATAATGTGGATGTCATTAATATAATGAAGATCTGTGTTCAACTCCAGTCACCACATATGGTCCTGAGCTCTGCTTAAGTGGTCCCTGAGCACAGAGTCTAGAGTAAGCCCTGAATACTACTGGGCATAGCCACCAAAAACAAATAAATAAAATAATCACATTACATTTCATGTGATTATTTTTTTACCACAGTGGGAAAAAATATCACCGAGGACATAATTTTCAGCAAAGTACCTGCTTCACATGTATGACCTTGGGTTTAATCCCTAGGATGTGCGCACGGGCGCACAAACACACTTTGCATCACATCCCACGTATGCAAAACATACTTCTTATTGTCTTGATACTTAAATACTAATATTAGCACTAGAATAAACTTTCCAGAGACAATCCTAGTTACACATCTCATGGGCTCAATTGTGTCTATGGCTCTTAAAGGATCAAATCCTTCGTGGAGGCAAAGAGAGTTCAATGGGCCTCTCTCATGCATGCAGGAGGCTGAAGTTTAATACCCTGTACCCATGGCTCCCCAGGCACAAAGCCAGGAATAACCCCTAAGTGTGCTCACTGTGATCCAAAAGTCAAATGAAAACAGGTATAACACATAGGTCCTTCATGATTTGGCCTCTAGGCATGTTACCTCATCTCCCGTCACTTCTCCATTGTTTAACCAATCCAAAAATTTCTAAGTGTTTCAGTGTTCCTCAACCTAGCATCTGTTCTCAGGTGTCTAAGTCTTGGCACACGCCTAGTCCTTTAATTCCACACTGAAATACCTAGCCAACTATCTTCTTTCATCAAACTTTAAGCACAACAGTAACAACAATAAACATGTAAAACACAGAAGAGGAAATAGAAATAGTTGGCTCTATCATGTAATGGTTAGCACTCTAAGCACTGGAATAAAAGTATTAAGTCCAGGACATGCAAAACATCTACTTGGTATCATTGAAAAAGAAGGAAAATTCAAATAAAATGGCATACTAATTATCACAAGCTACACGATGATATAGTTAAATTTAATACCATGAACCAACTGGATATGATATGTATATGATATATTTATGTATATATATATAAATTAATTCAACCCATAACAGCAGACTAGACATTCCTTTTAAGTTCAACATGGAAATTCACAGAGATCACACACTGTGCAATGCTATACAAAACTAGAAAGAAGAGAAAATTTAATCAAAAATAAGCAGAAAAAAATAACCAAAACAGAAAGCAATAAAATTCATATACAGTCTTACAAATTAACATTACCTCAAAAAATAAAAACAGAATCTGGGGATGCTGCTCACCTGTAGAGTGCATGCCTTGCACATGTGAGGCCCAGGGTTTGATTCTCAGTAACTGTTGCTGCCACTTTTGCCTTTTTCTGGCAGCTTCTATTGCTGAAGGGGAAGAAAAAAGTTTTCTGGTGGTGTGAATAAGGAACAATTAGAAAAAAAGCTTCTGGTGTTGGTGCTATGCTTACACTCCTTTCACAAGAACCACTGGGAGTGACTGTTTCACTTTAACAGGTATTTGGTGTCCCTGACCTAGAGCCCAACAGCTCTCCTTTTCTATTTGTTTTTGTT